AACCGGCAGGTGGAGCTAATAAAGCTTAACCTCTCATGTACAGCATTTGAGTTGTCACCAGAAAACACCCGGTTTCGAATCCCGATCACTGCTGAGGGACGATCTTTATTCAATTAAGAATTTAAGTTGTATACTCTTTAGACTTTTAAATTTAAACTGTGTATTACAGTATGTTAATCATTATACATTAAAAAGTTGGTATATTTTATGAAAGCAAGATTGCTCAGTTGGACAAAAGTACACAACCTACCACCTTTATCATAAATTTTTGAATTACGCAGAAATATTTTATCAAAGTCTTTACCGTAGATATTACTAATAGTATTAATAATGAATGACCTTGAACAAGATGTAAACTCAAAGTATTAATCTGGTCCACATTCTTTGTAACCATCTTTGTAAACGAAAATACTTTATTTTTTCATTGACAAAAAGTAACACCACAGCATTTTGTTGATCCGATCATGCATTTGTTTTCAATCATAGAAGGTATGCCTTTCACATGCTCATAAAATTGGAAAAAAATTGTGTATTCCGATAACGAACGTATTCGCAGAAAAGGTTAAAACAATCAATTTTCACAAAATATATAAACGTACAGTTATATGGTCAGAAGGAGCACGTAAAAATGTTTCTGAAATAACCACATGTAAGAGGGTTAATGAGCGCACCTGGCCAACCAGAATCGCCCGAGAGAGGTTATTGCCACTGCTACCTGGTTGAGATGCCTACCGGGTATGGAAAGATAAGGTTCTGTCACGAAGTGTTTTTCAGAATCCTATGCAGATGGCAGAATCCGAAGGGGAGTGAGACAAACACGGGTAAAAAGACTAGGATCAGGGCTGGAAGAAGAACAGGGGTGCGAGTTGACGTTGCGCTGGTGCTCGGGGGGGGGTCGTGGTCCAAGGCAAACAAGTCCAAAGGGAGTATGTAGGGAAATCCAGAGAATGCAAAAGTCCAGAGCCAGGTAATCCAAACCAAGACAGCCATGACAGAAGTTAAAAGCTAGAGCGGGATCCGGCGAAGGGTCAGGGGAATAAAAAGGGGGGTAACGGGGCCAGGCACTCCAGACGCTCCCAGCCCCGGACTCAGATGCTCAGGACGCCGTTGCGAAGCAGATGCCGTCGGGCCCCTTCTGGACTCGCTGGTAGGAGGGCTTCTGGGCGTCCATCTTCCAAAGCTGAGCCCAGAATGGTGGGAGCGTCTGGCTTTTGTAGGGAAGAGCTGGAACAGGAGGCAGGTGCACAAAATCAAAGAGAAACAAGGAAGAGCTGGAGCACCCCTAAGGGGAGGGGCTTACGATTGTGACAGGCTCATGTGGAATCCCCCCCGGCCACACTACCCAATAAAAGGTGGCTCTTCCACAGTGACCTATGTTTAATTTGTCATTCTTTCAGTAAATTGAATATTCTTATTACTTCAGAACTCCAAGATAATAAGATTCTTAGTTAATCCCGCAGAAGATTCGTCTGGATTCTTTGACTCCTACTCACACAAATCAGGGCTCTTCTTTCCTCACTATCTAACTTTGCAAACTCAATTACTGTAAAACTAAGCAGCAAGTAAAAGGTTAATTCCATGCTGAGAAGAAACAACATTTCAGCTGTGGCGCCTTTATCGGGTGTGAGAAAGAGGAAAGTCAGCAGCTGAGAAAGCAGGGGAGAACAAAAGCTGGGAGAGTGGAGGAGACAGGAGCCGGAGAGAAGCAGAGCAGGCACTCAGGTGGTGTGCAGTCGAGTGAGCCGTGAAGTCGAAACCTGTAAAACTCTTATATAAACTAGTTTATATTTTTGCCATTTAGAAATGTACAATCTACAGCGACCTTTTCTGTGTTTAAATCAAGTCACCAAACCCTTACAATAAAAACTAGTTTGACTGTTATTACATTAAGTTACCTGTATAGTGCATTATTGACTGATATGTTAAAAATCTTGATTTACATACATTGGTTGAAACGGAAATTCCACGGTGGCTCTCAGAATCTCTGCATTTAAAACATAACTCATTAATGCCAAGAAAAATTAATAACCACATACTGACATATTAAAATGAGTTAATAAATTAAACATTAATTTCTCTGCATGGTGCTGCGGTTTCATTTTGTAGCACATATCTTTTCCAAACTAATAATGGATAAACAAGACTTTCTAGCTTCTCTCAGACTGCAAATTTATCTTTATTAAGTATCTTTTGAGAGAACAATATTTCATTCGCCATCCTACAGGATGGGCATATCATACACATTTTCCTAATTCTTGCACATTTTCACTTCAATAGAAAATAATGCAGAAAATAAAAAGGGATTCAGAGGCTTTCTTTTAGAAACTGTCAGTCTTTATATTAAGAGCAGACTTGCTGCAGCTCGCCACCACGTGAGATAGCACTAAATCCCAATCCACAGAATTCTTTTCATGCTCCCACATTTATTTTACATGCCCTTGTCCATTCTTCTTCCCTTCATTTCAAATCAGAGAGGGGGGTGGTACCTTGGTGATCCTTGACCACCCATTTTCAGAAAATGTTCGCATTGCAATTTAGTTTGGCTATGAACCCTTCCTCATGCTCTTCAGAGTTCTTTTCTTTATCCTGTTTTTTACAGGCCTTCGGGAATCCCAGCAGGAAAGCTCAAAGAGGCAGTGGAGTGTCTTTATCTGTCTGTACAGTATTTACCCTCTACCCTGTTTACACCTTTGTGTGAAAGAGGAAATTCATACAATTAGGATTATGAGTTACATGTTGAATAGCTATGCATTTAAATCTAATTTAAAAATGCAAGAATAAGATATTTGCAGTGAGTCTCAGAGCCTGCATAGTGCTGAACTTCAAACAGAAGTTTCTTAACTGTTTTCACAGCTGAAGGAGAGGGAGATCTCTGGCATGTGCTTCACTACACTTCCACTTTATAACAAAGAGAGACAACAGACTTAAGACAGTAATTGCACAATAGCACTGTAAACAAAGATTTTGTGTCCTTATAATTAAGTGTTGTACAATTTATGATTTGCCTTGATATGCTTTTATGATACGCCAGCAGCCATATCACCCTGCAACTCACAACTGACAACCCACTGAAGCTAAGCAGGTGTGAGCCTGGTCAGTACCTGGATGACGGACCTCCTGGGAAAAACTAAGGTTGCTGCTGGAAGATGTGTTAGTGGGGCCAGCAGGGGGCGCTCACCCTGCTTTCCATGTGAGTCTTAATGCCCCAGTATAGTGATGGGTACACTATACTGTAAGCAGGTGCTGTCATTCGGATGAGAAGTAAAACTGAGGTCTTGACTCTCTGTGGTCATTAAAAATCCCAGGGTGTCTCTTGAAAAGAGTAGGGGTGTAATCCTGGTGTCCTGGCCAAATTTCCCATTTGCCCTTACCAATCATGGCCTCCTAATAATCCCCCTCTATGAATTAGCTTCATTACTCTGCTCTCCTCCCCACTGAGAGCTGGTGTGTGGGGAGTGTTCTGGTGCACTATGGCTGCTGTCGCATCATCCAGGTGGGGGCTGCACACTGGTGGGTGTGGAGGGGATCCCCATTACCTGTAAAGTGCTTTGAGTGGAGTGTCCAGAAAAGTGCTATGTAAGTGTAAGCAATAATTATAATTATTATTATTATTTAATTCTAGCAAGCTGACTACTAACTAGACTTAGTTTTAGTCCCATTATTGTATTCAAGTCAGTTAGTCTAACTAACCCAAGTTAAAACATAATTACTATGTTTTACCCATAATGTAATCAGTACATTAACCTTTGGCTATTAATCAATGAAGGCTCTGAATATAACTGCCCGTCTTTGAAGAAGTTTGATTCTTTTTTTATTCCTATGCAAAGTGGGATCTGACTGATGACTGAATGATGATAGCACTGCTTGGGGTCACACACACGCACTTTGGCCTGTTTCCTCCTTCCAATTGCCTTTTTAATGAATTCTGATTGCAAATGACCTTTTCTGCCAATGGAATACTTTCTGCAGTACTCAAAGCCCAATATTTAAAAAGTGCCTCTAGGTTTCAGCTCTTAATCTCAAGTACAGCCTGTGTCTTTGCCAGATCTCAACTAAGGACAAGAAAGGAGAAGAGTGTTTAAAGGAATTGTTTTAAAAGGACTATAGAGAGGAGATAATGGATCCTGCAAACACCCACAGCCTTAAGCAAAGAGAGAAGAAATGCACAATGACCACCAAAAAACCTTTAAGTTAGATAAGATCACTTAATTAGCCATATACAATTTCTTGTATTAGGAATTTGTCTGTTTGCATACCCCAGCTTTCTCTCCATGAGACACACAGATGGGAAGAGAGATGCTTGGGGTCAGAGCGCAGGGTCAGCCATGTATACGGCGTCCCTGGAGCAGCTGGGGTTAAGGGCCTTGCTCAGGGATCCAACGGAGCAGGATTTCTCTGCCGGCTGCGGGATACAAACCGGCAACCTTCCAGCCACAATCACAGATCCTGAGCCACAGAGCCATCGCTTCGTCAAAAATGTAATACCAGCAGAGTACCATATTGCTTGTAATTATAAACTAAATCTAGGTCTGGTCTGGAAAGTGCTGTGGTATGTTTTAAACTTCCTGTTGCCTTGCCAGATTAAAACTAGCTGCAAATGTAACAGGTATACAGTAGGTTTATCAATCTAGAAGAACATCCATCCTGCACAAAGCAGAACAGCAAGAGTGGGAGGCTGTCAACATGCAAACTGCAAATTAGCAGACGGGTTTGTTCAATGCTGAAAACTAGACATACAGCTTCTTCCTTAATTTCACAGTGAAGCCATGAGAACATAGACAAGAAAATACTGCTTGCTTTCTTACCTGTTCACAATGCCAGATAGCTACACTGCTTTTCTGCAAAGCATACAGCACATATCTAAATCAGATCTAAAAGATCTAAAAGATTTTCTGAAAAAATCGATTTCAATACTGCATTATTGCAAGTAACATACAGTATGAGGAACCACAGAGATTCCCTGACATGAAGTTCTATGCTGCGCTTAAAACAGACCTGAGGTTTCCATAGTGTAGCGATTATCACGTTTGCCTAACACGCAAAAGTTCCCCGGTTTGAGACTGGGTGGAAACAGGCTCTTCGGGGCGGAGCGGTGGCTCTGTGGCTAAGGGTCTGCGCCTGTGGCTCTAATGTTGCTGGTTCAAATCCCGCAGCTGGCAGAGGAATCCTACTCTGTTGGGCTCCTGAGCAAGGCCCTTAACTCCAACTGCTCCAGGGGCGCTGTATAAATGGCTGACCCTGCGCTCTGACCCCAAGCTTCTCTCTCCCTGTCTGTGTGTCTCATGGAGAGCAAGCTGGGTATGCGAAAAGACAATTCCTAATGCAAGAAATTGTAAAGGGTTAATAAAGTGATGTTATAAATGGAAAACATGATATGAGAAAACCTGTGTATTCAGATGGAAGCTCTGGTGTGAGTTTAGTAACCATACCCCACTTTTGCCCTCCTTCAACTAACCAACGTCCTAGGTTAAACTGCAGACCTTGCATGTGTTTTGTTACAATGGGTGTTGCACAAATGTGTGTGATTACTGATGATGTATTTTTACTTTTTGTTTTTGGAAACACACCTTAAAAGCCAGAGTTTGTGCCATTTGTATAACAGCCCCTTTTGTATTGCCTGCTAACTTCAATAATAAAGAAAATGTTATTGATTTCTGTTCCCAAACTCACCATGTGTATAATTAAAGACATTGTGTCATGTTTTTTCCTTGGGGGTGAGGTTTGGAAATACAAAGAAAACACTGTTCCTCATGACTGTGTTCTGAGCATCTCATTAGCTTCTGGGTTTAATTGGAAGAGACGTTTTCATGCAGGTTACAGGTTATTTGCTCTGCTAATATACAAAGAAGTAGTCTGTGTTCAAGACACCTTTGTTCCCCATATAAGAACAAAAATGATTATAGCCTGATCCCTCCGTAAAAAAAAGCCAAGAAATAGATTCCAGTTAACATCAAAATGAGGCTTAAGTCACTTTTAGGATTTATCTGCTTTAATTTTTTAAATAAAGTACAGTATAGTGTCTTACTGGTCTACCCCATATACAGCCTGGTATACTGAGCATGAGCCTCATTTCATTCTCCAAGTCATAATAAAACCTGCAATGTCTTTGTGTAGATGAAACACAAGCAGAGATGCACTGCATCCACCTTTATTTTTAGCAACATGACCTAATCTAGAAGACAGCTTGTTCAGAAATTCCTGCAACTCCACTTGTTTACAGACTATACAATTTTCAAATAACATTCAGTCTTTTTAACATTTCTTTGTACATGTATATCCTTTCATAAACACTGACCCGTTTCCACCTGAGGCTGTCGTTACGTAATCTCCGTACAGACGACCTGTGAAGATATTGTCATGCTGACGTAATGTCCTCTTGTGCTTGTGATTCTGCAGATCACAGACTGAGCAATTCCTCAACAGTACACACTGAGATTCCTTAATGAAACTTTGTGTATATATGTCTGAAACATAGCAGAGGTTTGAAGACTTTTGGAAACTAAAAATAACGTGCCTAAAACTTTGTTTAAAAAGAAATATACTGAATTTCTGAATATAGTGAAAAAATGTCAGTAGTTTGATTACCAGGGTATGCATAATTGTAATACATATTAGGTAGAGTGGCCAGATTACTTCCCAGGACTGAAGGAATGTCCAAAACGAACAGATGAAAGGGTCTGAACCTCTTTATTCTGGGAAAGAGAATGTTGTGAGGGACCTTATACTTGTATACAAGTGCACAATTATTCCTGAAAGAGTCCTGAAAGATACTGACAGACTTGACCAGTGGACTTCTTCAGGGCCAGCAGTGCACCATGAAACAGATGACGCAAAAGGGAGTGCATTGTATGCAAAGGATTGTAGGAGACCGAAACAATTTCCCTTACCAAATCCACAGAAGTTTATACTGTATATATATACTGTATATCAGTCAGTAAAGTTTCCTAATAATATTTTGAAGTTTCTACCCGCCCGTGGAAAGCCGTAGTCTGATGTACACTAATCTTAACAATGAATGCTCTCCTACACAAAATGAGAAGTGAGTGAAATGAGTCTTATCTAGACCAGCACAGACTTTCTTGTCAACTGTGTGTCAACAAATCATGGCAATAGTCATCTGCTCTTTCTGTCCTTGGAGAGTTATAGTCTCCTGTAGGGGGTCAAAGGCATCTCAGACCTACAAATCACATTTGTAATAAGTCAGCCTGAATTCCCTTTGGTGGTGATTCTCTTCAATACACTTCTCTCTGCAGTGTTAATCCCCTGTCCAGACTGATGTAGGTTCATCTTGAGCTTCATACTTTAAAATAAATCTCAACCTAAGCAACATGAACCGTAATTTCTTTATTCCCTGTTGTATTTGTTGCCCAAAATTACATTTTCTCCATTTTCTTATCACATACAGTACAGAATTTGTGCGCAGAAAGACTATCATTAACCTCCTCACATTTAGCGAGACAAAAACAAAACATGATGCTTAGGAGATAAAACATGTATTATAGAAAAAGAAGTGTCAGGCTTGTCAATATTTATATTTCAACATTTGCTCAATTCTTTAATCCTCTTTCTTCATATATAGTCCAGCACTGACAATAAATTCCTACCGTTATAATTAAATATTCATGACAAACTAATTTTTCACATCTTACCCCACAAATGTTTATGTGAACAGCATAAGACAAAAACCTACATTAAAATATAATGAATTAAATATGTTTTTAAACAATTTACAGCTTTACAGTTTTCTTTTCATCCATAACATTTCAGTTGAATTGGATTAGCTCTTTTGAAAAATTATTGTGTAACTAAAGTATCAAGCAATGGGTTTATGATGTATTGCTCACAAATTAATGTTAGGATGAAATTAACATAGGATTATTCTTAAGGATTAGAAGACCAGATAAGAAAAAGCAAAAGTAACAGGACACCTGAAAACTGTGTTTTTTGGACTGCAGTTTGTAGCCATTGGCATAAAAATATATATTTCGTCACACCAGGTGTTTAGAATAGATCCTATTTTAAATTAATCAGCCCTAATGCTGATTGTAGAAGCAATACAGCAGTAATTTCAGACATACAGTATTTCTTGCTGATGACACCACTAAACTAAATCATTCATTTGATCTGTTTCCATCTCTATGATTTAACTTAAAATGCATTTCCTAGTAGCGTTAGAAAGAACAATTTAAAATCATCTATGGTTGTATTTTTGGTGACTGTAATGAACACAGTAGCGAGAAAGAGAAATAAGAAGAGGTTTGATGATAATTCTTGTTATTAATTACCTGGCGACTTGTTTCAGCATCAGAGTATCTGCATGCTTGTCCATTGGCCTTCAGGCATGATTAAAATCAAACACCCACGCTGCAAGAATACGTTTGTGAATCCTTTAATGTAAGATAAAACCCACATGATCTTTTATTTAGCAACTTCTTGATGGTCTGCAAAACTGAAGACTTCTTTCCCTGCATGTATGACAAGCTCAAAAAAGGCAGATAACACTACAGATTTGGCTGAGTCAAAACTTGAGGGACAGCTACCTCCAGGGATTAGCACTTGCAAATTCCCGCTTCCTTTCCTCACACGGAACAAGTTTTCTTCACTCAACTGACTTGCCTGCACCTGCGCAGAGCAGCGGGGTTCCCCAGTTATTCAAAATTTAACTTCAGTTATGTTTTCCAACATCGGATACCTTGTAGACCAAACCTCTGATATTCCTTTGTTCATTTTAAAACAGTTCCCCTTAATTATCACAGATTCAGATTATTCTTTAGTTTTGAAAAATTACAGTATATACAGTATAAGATATTGAACACCAGAGAGACATACATTCCATACTAAGCAAATTTAAAACTTTGAATGGAGCAACTGGACAAAGTCCTTACAGATTGGTCTTCTACAAAACACCAATAATAAAGTTCTACCTGGTTGATATTAAAAGGCAGTCTATTTCCCAATTTCTAGGAATCCAAGATAATGTGTTGACCCTTAAAGTGCTCTTGCAAGCACGTTTTCCACTCTTCTCCCTCTTTCCCTACAAACTGGGAAGTGTGCACTGTAATTGATTTAATTATGCTCTTCTGTCTTCATGGATTGTCTGCAATTGGCAGCAGCTTAAGTAAGACCAGAGGCTCAGGAAGATCAGTGTAACACTTCATTACAGGTCTTGATCTGTTGGTGATTTAATGAGACCTCACAAAGCTGCTGGAATGTGGACCTCACTTGGCTGTTTTCTGGTGGTGTTCTTGATTGAGTTCTGATTACAGGCAAGAAACACAGTTTAATGAATAAGGAATTTTGATGTTCAGATCGCTAAATTACTTCTGTCCTGAGAGGTACCAGAGCACTGAAATAGCTGCACATGCATGCATTCAAAATCTGTGTATATTTTCGTGATAGGCTCCAAATCAATCAGTGAATTTTATCAATAAAAAACAATAGATGTACTTTTTTCCATAACTCATTTGTTAAAGCCGCCCATAATGAAGACGAAGAAGAGGCGTGATTCAAATAGTGAGCTTTATCGGCCATAACTCACCTGGCTGAGGAGAATGTCAACCAGCCGGTCTGTTAGAAACCCCCCCCCCCTTGAAAAGCGAGCTCCTGCAAAGCTGGAGGTGGGGTGGAGAGAGGGGTGCGAGCATGTGGAAATGGAAGAGGGCAAGATTAGGTTGGATCTTCTCCACAACGTTTGTTTCAAATTCCATCCTACAGTTAGATTAGATGCAGCTCAGAGGAATTAGTCATAGAAAGTCTCAAAAAGTCAATATGCCTATTTGCCTAGATCTACATTAAATGAATGTATATATGCCAACCTCATATTCTCTTTGTGTCACATTAATAAACATAGTTCTGTACTTTCCTCCCATTTACCTGGCTGTTCCATTATTCTTGAGCAGCTACATTCTTTTCAGTAATAGGGCTGCATGTTTTTTTCCTACACAAAACGAAGCAGAATAATATTCAGCATGATCTAAACCTTTTTTCCCAGATAAAATTTAATTTTATTTCAATTGAAACACAATTGTTTGTTATAATGCACTGACGTCCAGGGCAATTAATCACTGTGATCA